TATATGCAAATGCAAAAACGCATATTGCGACGACCCCGGCGTGCGTGTATGTGCGTGTGTGTGTGCGTCTGTCCAGATATTTCAACTCGGCACCCAAGCAAGCTTCGGCGCCAAAACTTTGCCGGTGGGTCCCTGTCCAAGTGCCACCTCAGGATCGCGGTACCAACTCCCAAGCACGTCTGGGCCCCGCGTACGAGGGGGTGAAAGTTTTGGCGGGAAAATAGCTAACTCGGAAATCAGAAAAGCTAGAAAGCTGAAATTCTGAGGCTATGTTCCCCGTCTACATAGAATTCAAAGATTTCAAATTCAGCCCCCAGGTGTGCGTTGTTCCCACGTATGGCCCTGTGAGAGTTCCCGGCGCGAAAATGGCTAACTCGGAGATCAGGAAAGCTGGGAGGCTGAAATTTTCAGAGAATGTTCTTAGCACATGTGCAATTTAAACTTATCAAATTCAGCCCCCCGGGCATGCGTGGTTCTCATGTACGGCCCATGTGACTTCAAATCTCGTACATAATGAATGGCCTGAAATCAGTTCTAAAAACTTGCCCTTTGTAAAATATAACCTCCTGCTCAATTGCAGACAAAAAGTTGGATGTAATCCGAGTTTTAGTACTTTCGCTAAAATGAATAAGTTAAAATATCAGCCAAATGTGCCCAGCTCTAGTGCGCTTTGGCACTTTCGCCTATAAAAGCACAGTAGCTTATTGCAGCAGATCTATGATCACTTCGTTTCTGAAATGAAGCAATTACGCTTCGGACGGTCATGTCGTTATCTTGATCTCATCGTATTAAATGCTTGATAATGAATAAATTCTAAAGCATCTGTATGAATGAAATTCAAACATGTCTGAGTCTGCTTTTGAATGAAAACACTTATATCGGGAGTTAAACTTGGCTCATATTTTCTCACCAATACAATCAGAGCGGAATTTAGAGATTTTTCATTTTTTTAAACTAATTTTTGTACTTTTTCTGCATCTATTCAATGTAAAAACGCACACTGTGTGTCTAAGGAAGGTTGTCTGTGTATAGATATGTCTATGCGGATTTTTCATCTCTAGGCCCGCAAAAGCCATAAAGCTGAAACTTGGGCGACTTAACCTGCATCTGTGTAAAAGAGCCCCTATGCGGAAAACCAGCACTCACGTGCACATGATTCTCACGCATGAAAACGTGAGAGATTTTTTTGGAGGAGAGCTATTTCAGGAAACGAGCAAGCTGGAAGTCTGAAATTTTAAAATGTTCCATGCTCAAGTATAATCCAAAAATTTCACATTCAGCCTTCATGCAACTAAACCTGGCGTTTCATATGCACACACTTCAAATTTTAATTGGCATAATGTTAAATCGGGAATTACACTGACTAGAAAGCTGAGCTGTAATTTTAAAACGTTACTTGCCGCCCACCGATGCTCTCTTGAAAGTAAATTGAGCTTCTCAGCCCCTGCACCTCACGCAGGGGCGCGTGATATCTGACGGAGACAATTTCATAGCTTCGAAACTAAAGCTTATGGAAGGCTGAAAGTTTCAGAGCATGGCAGAAGGCCATATTTGGACAAGGATAATCAAAAACAATACGCGCTTTACCCTTACGTACGATGATAAAGAATTTAACATAATTCCGCAATCGAGGCAGCCGGAGTGCTCAGATTTCTTGAGCATGAACCGTGCTTAGGCGATACTTTAAAAGAACACTTTTTCCTTCACGTATAAGTGCACGAAATTTAACGTAATCCCACAACCAGTCATCTGAACTGTCGAAATTTCCAGGGCATGACCCACGATCGCCTTTGGACAGGTGTATTCAGAAAAATCTTTACGTCCCGTCAGATGCGAGAACACAAGAAGTGTATCGAGACCTGACAATCAAGGCAACCACAGTACTGAAATTTTCTGGGCGTGGCCTATTATTGTGTTTGACCAAGCTCACATAAAAACAGCGTTTACGCCTCTTTCACGCAAGAACACGTGCGAGGAAACCATGCAAAACACATCTTCGCACTGGCCAATAGTGCGATGTTGACTACTGCAAATTACGGGATGTGCGCGTTGTATAAAGAATCGTATCAGGAGGATGGTAAAGTGGTAATTTGTTGGGGGCAAGGTAAACATTACGCAAAATGTCCGAGCGGTTATAGATGCAAACATTTTGAATTTAGTGGAATTTGCTGTCCTAAAGAATCAGAAGGTAATGCTGCACATTTGTTTTTGCTTTATATCAAAAGAGAAAAAGGTCAAAAATTTTTCATTTACATATTAATGTGTACATTTGCGCATGTATACGTGAAGGTATGCAACTCAGAACATAAGTGTCTGGTGTAGCTGTATATGGAATATGACAGCTTCCTGGTGGGCGATTTTGGTAGGTGTATATTTGTGTATGTATGTGCGTGTTTAGACATGTATGTATATAAGCCTTTTATTATGCGTTTTTGCATAGTATGCAAATGCGAAAACGCATATTGCGACGACCCCGGTGTGTGTATGTGTGTGTATGTGTGCGTCTGTCCGGGTATTTCAACTCGGCACCCAAGCATGCTCCGACGCCAAAATTCTGCGAGTGGGTTTCCCAGCCAAGTGCCACCCCAGGATCGCGGTACCAACCCTCAAGCACGTCTAGGCCCCGCGTGCGAGCGTCTCAAATTTTTGGCGGGAAAATCGCTAACTCGAGAACCAGAAAAGCTAGAAAGCTGAAATCTTGCGATTATGTTTCCAGTCCAAGCAGGACTCAAAGGCTTCAAATTCAGCCCCCGGGGGTTCTTGGTTCCCGCGTACGGCCTCTTGAGGGTTACTGGCACGAAAATCGCTAGCCCGGGGACCAAGGAAGTTGGGAGGCTGAAAGTTTCAGGAAATGTTCCCAACTCATTTACAAATTCAATTAATCAAATTCAGCCCCCCGCCATGCGTGGTTGCTACGCACGGCCCGTGAAAGTTTTTGGCGGGAAAATGAATAACTCCAGAGCCAGGGAAGCTGGGAGGATGAAATTTTCAGAAAATTTTCCCAATTCATCTACAACTTCATTTTATCAAATTTAGCCCCCGCCATGCGTGGTTGTCACGTACGGCCCCATGAAAATTTTTGGCACGAAAATGAATAACTCCAGAACCAGGGGAGCTGGGAGGATGAAATTTTCAGAAAATGTTCCCAACTCATGTACAACTTCAATTTATCAAATTCAGCCCCCCGCCATGCGTGGTGGCTACGCGCGGCCCCGTGAAATTTTTTAGCTGCAATTTTGGTAACTCGAAAGCTGAGGAAGCTGGGAACATGGGATTTCAAGGAAATGTTCCCTGCCCTACTATAGCGTGGATAATTAAGTTCCCGAAATTCGAGGACCAGTATGCACAAGAGGTTTCTAGCTAGCGGAATTTCGAGTAATCCTATTACAGCACGAAACACTGCAAAAACGTATAATCGCACGGGACCCCCCAGTGCGCGTCGCCAATGATTTATCAACAAAATGGCAGGTTTCTTCCAGCGAACTACTCGGGAATTTGTCGCTTTTCGTGATGAAAAAGGAATCTGTATAGTAGAACTAATGACGGTGTTAAAGATTATTTTTTAAATAAACTAATTAGCAGCAAATTGCAGAACTATATGAAAAAAAACACTAACTCTAGCTGTGCGAAAGGACATTTGATGACGCACGAGTTTAGTGGCCGGCAAATGCCACTCCTCGGCAAATCCTGTCTTGACGACTTCTGCCCCGCAGACAGCAAGTGCCATGAGCAAAAGGTGTTTGCATATTGCTGCCAGCGATTAGCATTTGAAATTGTTTGTACACGTCACTGTTAGAAATTCATTGATACCATAAAATGTTTGAGTTAGAAATGTCGAAATACCATAGAAGACTGATTTATCCTAAGCCTCCTGAATGTAGAAAATCCCCGTTCCTCTTCCGCATTCATCCTGTTGTAGTTTTAGGCACTAGTATAAAGAGACATTAGGAAGCCCAACTTTCCTCTAATGGCTTTCGTGCTTACTACTTAACTCAAGGAAACAAAGTTTGCCTAACTTTTTTCCATTAGTTGAACAGTAGCTACTAAAGAAGTTGAAGAAGAATAGAGCGAATGGCTATTAAATCAGAAAGGCCACCATAAGATGCTTAACAATGTGAAAAAAACTGAAGCTGTTTAGCCTACTGGGACGAGTGCAAAACGGCCGTATGGACAGATGGTTGCTCTTGGCATTTGCTAACCAGTCGGGCTACTTTCGAGTTCCTCACATTTCACAGGGAATGTGTAAGAAGAGGGTCTTAATTATAGTTCTGATGCCACAATGAAAAAGTACTGTTTTAGCCGTCGAGAATGGCGCAGCAGGAACTACCGCTGCTGTCATACAGCTGGTTTAATTTTTGGCTCTGCTAGGGAGACAGCCAATTTCACTTCAACTCATTCATTCATTTCAGTGGTAAATTAGTATACGCATGTTCCAAGAAAATTGGTACATGCATATTCAAAGGAGGAAAAGCCATTTGCCTAAATTCGTAACTTGAGACTTAGTGAATGTAGAAGATCGATACTAAATCTCTGAATTATTCCAGAATCAGGTGATTCTATTTATTGCTATGCTTTTTCAACTCTTCGAACGGACAGGTTAGAAAATGAAATTTTTGACTTAATGTGCAAAATTTCAGCTTTCAGACCTGTCAAGCCACGGAGCTGAAAATACGTGGCAGCAACATGTATACACGGAGGAGGACTCCACTTCCGCACTTGTGCGAATGTGGAAAATGCATAAAACAGGAATGAGCAGATTGGTTAGTTGCAAAAATTCAAGAAATATCCATCAAATTCTCTCTCGCTTGTTTCCTGAAAATTGCAAAGTCATTTAGGAAACAAACGGAAGAGGCTTTTCTTTTTTTTTCGAAAGCAGTGTGTGTGTAAAAGCCCTAATAAGAACTGTCCCGGCAACTGGCACCGCTGGACGAGGTCGGCCGGGCGTTTATTTAGCTCTGCTCATTTACATCCCAGCAAGTCCCATTATGCTTTTATACGTCACAAACGAGTCTTTCACATGGGGTGCAGGCGACCTTCTGCAAAGAGGAAGCACCTTAAGCGTCCGCACATTTCAGTTAATCCGATGTTCCGAGAAACCAGCAAACAAATCGCGATGTTCATCCTACCAAGCAAAACAACCTTGATTAGAGCAATCATTAGTACTATTACTACTAATTTCTGCCACTACAAATACTGGTACCATTGCCATCGTTGTCACTTGTTACGCGTGACGAGGAATTGCAATAGCACCCACTTTACGTGGCGTCCACATTTTCCCCAAATTTTTGTCGAATTCCTTCGCCGAGTCCCTCAGGGTCCTAGAATAACTTATAACCCAGGCTGGAACGCATCAGGCTTTCCGGTACGATCATGTGTTTTTGCACTAAACTCGCAGATCGCTATTAGCAGGAATGATCCCTAAGCTGTAGCCTAACACTTG